AACACAAATACAAATCTATGTAATTGGTAAACTGAATGAATTAGTATCATATTAGTCTGTCTGTGACTCATTACAATGAAAAGACCACCAGTGACAATGTTACCACAGAAACACTGTCTCTCTGGGCACAGCGAGTTACCTGTAAATAACGTTGCCTATTTTACATTTACATTATAAAGCGCTCTGCACCCTGAAGAATATCAAACCACTTCACAAGGCATGGAAACACAGAAGGTGGCAGTCAGGCAAACAATGCACTGCAAGTACAACAGAGGGGGAAGGGAAACTTGATCATTTCTATGTGTGCATTTAGAAAGAATGAAGGTTATTTTATACACATTCTTATTTACAGTTCACAAACTACAGAGCAAGGGAGCTCTGGATCATAAGTGTGTTATTGAGATGCTCTTTTGTACATCAAGTTACGTTATTGTTTCTGCTTCCACTGGGTGGTGGTAGATTTCATGTCTTTCTAGTGAGTCCATTTCCCATTGGGAGAGAAATTAGTGGCACAGACTAGTGTGTTTTGTTTATTTACCAAAATATGCACCCGTCCTATTAGCCTGGAACACAAAGGGCCAAAACTACACATCGACTATTCCAATTGCAAAACCACAGCTAAGACCCACCAGCTCAAGCCCTGTCAGCAAGGAAAGCTCCCTTCTCTGTCCCATTGGGCTCCATCACTGTGCCTTTAGCACATGCGGTCACTTCCCCTTTCCCTGCCTGCGTCCAGCACTTTTCACCTGGAATCCCCTTAGCCCAGAATTACCATCTTAGCGTTTTGTCACAGGGAGCTCAGGGACCGTTCTGCAACACGGAGAGGTTTGGCTCAGACAGGTTTGACTAGATGCTAGTCTCCATCCAGACAAGAAGAGCGTCCCTATTCCTATCCCCTCAGAGACTGGGTGCAGTTGTTGTGACCTGCCTTCATGGGATTCTTTTGGGCCAGGCCCTTTGTGTTTATACTGAAGCTGCCCATAGAAAGGGTTCGAATGCATCAGTAATTCAAAACATGCATTTCATTAACAGCGCAGCCGTCTCGCCGAGTTTCATTCTGTACTATCATAGCTGCAGCAGCAAGGAACCTTTTTAAAGGATCCTCCTCCCCGGAGTCACAGGACTAAAGTCCCTTTTAAAGATCACTTGAAACAACAGCGTGGATTTGAAATGCAAATGAAGTCAGGAATGTTGAGACTGCAGAGGCTGAAATTTCCCCCTTGAGAAGCTGTTCTATCTAGAGCCTGTTAGAGGCTGTTCCCACCTGTTGGGCTGGTCCCATCCCTCCTTGTATCCATCCATTGAGTTGTACTGAAACGAACACAGGTTCACTGTCACAATGGTGTGAATGAACGGATGCAAGTGAGAGGAGTCAGATGCCTTCACCCCAGACTGGCTAATCTTCAGCTTCTTTAAGCTTGTTCCATCACAACAACTCTTCAGACAAAAGATACAAGCTTAAGTAAACTGAGCCAAACACGTTTAAACAGTTAAATGAAAGCGACTTTTTAAAAGTGGCTAGAACTGTTTGCTCCTTGTCTTTTAATTAAGGCTGTCAAGCGATTAAAAAAATTAATCATGATTAATCGCACTGTTAAACAATAATAGATACCATTTATTTAAATATTTTTTGATGTTTTCTACATTTTCAAATATATTGATTTCAATTTACAACACAGAATACAAAGGTACAGTGCTCACTTTATATTTATTTTTATTACAAATATTTGCACTGTAAAAAACAAAAGAAATAGTATTTTTCAATTCAGCTTATACAAATACCATAGTGTAATCTCTTTATCATGAAAGTTGAACTTACAAATGTAGAATTATGTACAAAAAAACCCTACATTCAAAAATAAAACAATGTAAAATTTTAGAGCCCGCAAGTCCACTCAGTCCTACTTCTTGTTCAGCCAGTCGCTCAGACAAACAAGTTTGGTTACAATTTACAGGAGATAATGCTGACTGCTTCTTGTTTACAACATCACCTGAAAGTGAGAACAAGCGTTCACATGGCACTGTTGTAGCCAGTGTCGCAAAATATTTACATGCCAGATGCGCTAAAGATTCATATGTCCCTTCATGCTTTACCCATGCTGATGATGGGTTCTGCTCGATAACGATCCAAAGCAAAATGGATCGACGCACGTTCATTTTCATCATCTGAGTCAGATGCCACCAGCCGAAGTTTGATTTTCTTTTTTTGGTGGTTCAGGTCCTGTAGTTTCTGCATTGGAGTGTTGCTATTTTAAGACTTCTGAAAGCATGCTCCACACCTTGTCCCTCTCAGATTTTGGAAGGCACTTCAGATTCTTAAACCTTGGGTCGAGTGCTGTAGCTATTTTTCAAAATCTCACATTGGTATCTTCTTTGTGTTTTGTCAAATCGCCTGTGAAAGTGTTAAGAACATGTGCTGGGTCATCATCCGAGACTGCTAGAACATGAAGCAAAATGTGGGTAAAACAGAGCAGGAGACATACTATCCTCCCCCAAGGAGTTCAGTCACAAATTTAATTAATGCATTATTTTTTTAAAGAGCATCATCAGCATGGAAGCATGTCCTCTGGAATAGTAGCTGAAGCATGAAGAGGTATACGAATGTTTAGCATATCTGGCACGTAAATACCTTGCAACGCTGACTACAAAAGTGCCATGCGAACGCCTGTTCTCACTTTCAGGTGATGCAAATAAGAATCATAGAATATCAGGGTTGGAAGGGACCCCAGAAGGTCATCTAGTCCAACCCCCTGCTCGAAGCAGGACCAATTCCCAGTTAAATCATCCCAGCCAGGGCTTTGTCAAGCCTGACCTTAAAAACCTCTAAGGAAGGAGATTCTACCACCTCCCTAGGTAACGCATTCCAGTGTTTCACCACCCTCCTAGTGAAAAAGTTTTTCCTAATATCCAATCTAAACCTCCCCCACTGCAACTTGAGACCATTACTCCTCGTTCTATCATCTGCTACCATTGAGAACAGTCTAGATCCATCCTCTTTGGAACCCCCTTTCAGGTAGTTGAAAGCAGCTATCAAATCCCCCCTCATTCTTCTCTTCTGCAGACTAAACAATCCCAGCTCCCTCAGCCTCTCCTCATAACTCATGTGTTCCAGACCCCTAATCATTTTTGTTGCCCTTCGCTGGACTCTCTCCAATTTATCCACATCCTTCTTGTAGTGTGGGGCCCAAAACTGGACACAGTACTCCAGATGAGGCCTCACCAATGTCGAATAGAGGGGGACGATCACGTCCCTCGATCTGCTCGCTATGCCCCTACTTATACATCCCAAAATGCCATTGGCCTTCTTGGCAACAAGGGCACACTGCTGACTCATATCCAGCTTCTTGTCCACTGTCACCCCTAGGTCCTTTTCCGCAGAACTGCTGCCTAGCCATTCGGTCCCTAGTCTGTAGCTGTGCATTGGGTTCTTCCGTCCTAAGTGCAGGACCCTGCACTAGACTAGTCAGACTAGTCAGAGCAAAAATAGCTGTAGGAAAATCCCATGTACTGTAGGAAATGAAATGGCTGTATTTACTGGAGGTGTCCCAGAGGCTCTTGGGACATCAGATTCCATTTAATTGGCTTAGTTCATTATGTATCCAAAGAGAAGCTTGTTGGCTGGTTTTTGAGGCATGTACAATATACAGGCATGCTAAAGTTCTCTACTGCCTTGCCCACACGCTCAGCCCACTTTTTCACTAAAGAACTAGTAACTGCCATTTTGCTGTATTTCCTCAGCTGAGACAAAATGAAGGCCTATGAGGCACATATCTAGCAGCCACAATAGGGCATGCACCCTGAAATGGAGTCCATTTGACTGTTAACCAAAAGGTGGTCATTTTGAAAAACAAAGAGAAAAAAAAACTAAGGACATATTTTTCTTTTCCCTGTAAGGAGAGCAGAGCATATCCACTATACAAATACATAAGTGCTGCTCATTGCCTTGGAAACATGTATATATTACAAGATTTTACCTTGCATTTCTATGTATTGCCATGAAATGATGATAAAATCTAGAAGCATCAAGCACATTATATGCTACAGGAAATTAATTAATCACTCACCATTATTTGGAACAGCACCTTTCCTGCAAGCTCACTGGGGGAGCTTCCCAACTGCCATTAGAGAATCAAAATAAAACTAAATGAAATGATTCAAGCGTCACCTTCGAAAATCAACAATTGATGAGAGTTGGGGGCGTTATGAGAGTTCCATTAAATGTAGTGAGTATTCTGGAGTCTGTGATTATGGCGATGGTTTAGCAGGTCACACGCTGTGTACCTCTGGAGGTGCCAGAGGGGGTTTCACATCCTTCCAAAAGGTAAACTACCTCCTCTGAAACAGGTTAGTCTGGAAATGACTCGACAGCCCAAGGAACACTCGTGTTCTTCCACACATCTTGCCCAAACAATAATGCCCCTCCTCCCACACACTAAGGTTCCCTTTCTTGGTTCAATGCTTATTTGTTATCCTCCACAGCAATAATTGTACTAGGACAGTATAGTTACAAAATCGCTACAGAACAACAGATTCTGAGTTAGGTATCAGAAAATTAGTTTGGGTAGCCTCAGGTTTGACTCAAATCTTTCTCCAAAGGTTGAACTGAACTGAATTTGTTAGAGCTTTCGGAGAGATTAAGTAACTTTGTTCCCCTTTTCTCTTGTGCCTCTGGAATTCTTGGTTTCATCCCCTGATGGAGGAACAATAACATATTGAGACAGAGGCTGCTCTTTTGGTATTTCCAACCCAACCAAACCAAAGATGCCCTGGAAATCTCACAAGGAAACTAGAGCTCAGGAGATTTCTAGACCAAACGGGTTCAGAATAAGTTGGGTCCCCCTGGAGTTACTGAGGTTCACCAGTTGCTATAAGTCTCCTAATGTGCTACGCCATGCGGCCGGCTGATCTTCCGTTCCATTAAAATCTCAACCTATTTTTCATGTTGAAATAAAGACGGTACATGTTCTGACATTTCCCCTTCCTCCCTTTCCTTCTCACAGGCTATTTGCTGCTAAGTGCAGCGGCTGCATGGAAAAGATTGCCCCGACAGAGTTTGTGATGAGAGCCTTGGAATGTGTTTACCACTTAAGCTGCTTCAGTTGCTGTGTCTGTGAGCGGCAGCTGAGGAAAGGAGATGAGTTTGTTCTGAAGGAAGGACAGTTGCTCTGCAAAAGTGACTATGAAAAAGAAAAAGACTTGCTCAGCTCAGTGAGCCCCGATGACTCAGACTCAGGTGAGCTCTTCTTGCACCTGTTCCAATTGATAGTTATGGACAGGCAAAGCGGATGGAAAAGTCAGATCCATCCTGAACCATAGACTCACAGGCGGTGGAAGAAGAGACCACAGGGGCCAACCATTCCATCTGATTTTGTAGACCACTCATAGGTGCTCTTTCTTTCAGACTCCATTGTGCTGGTGCCTTGACCCCTTTGCCTTTGGGAATTATTGCACTGTCTGTTAAGAGCTATCCCCAAATATCTAGTTTAGATCTTTCCTTTCTTAGGTTCTGGCCATTACTCATTGTCCTTACCATCTTAGTAGAGGACAAGAATAATTTACAAGTTGCTGAGATTCAAATAAGTGATATTGTTGTATAAAACCAGGAATGGGTAAATCTGTCTGGTTTGGGTTACCCGGGGCCTGCCCAAAGCCTAATGTTGTCAATGGGAGTCTTTCCATCCCTTTAAATAACAGATTGGGGTTGTATCATACACCCATATTTCCTACCTGAGTATAGACAACTTGCTGTACATGCACATACATACAGGGTGTGTTATACATTTACTATGGCATGAGGAATACACAGAGCTGGTTTGCAAAATAGACTTCAAGAAGTGATGTAATTTCCCAGAGTTCTCTAAGTGTCTCTCTGCTGGTCACAAGTGGGAACACTCAGAAAAGGCACAAATGCAATATTGAAATGTCAGGGACTTGAAGGAAACTGAATGCTGAACTTGGCATTCCAGTTGTGAAATGTGTGTAGCAAAAGCAGTGGTTTTGTGTCTGCTAGGTCAGTGGGTCTCAACCTTTCCAGACGACTGTACCCCTTTCAGGGCTCTGACTTGTCTTGTGCACCCCAATGCTACACCTCACTTAAAAACTACTTGTTTACAAAATCAGACATACAAATACAAAAGTGTCACAGCTCCCTATTACTGAAACATTGCGTACGTTCTCATTTTTACCATGTAATTATAAAATAAATAGATTGGAATATAAATACCATACTTACATTTCAGTGTAGAGTATATAGAGCAGTATAAACCAGTCATTGTCCGTATGAAATTTGAGTTTGTCCTGACTTCGCTAGTGCTTTTTATGTAGCCTCTTGTAAAACTAGGCAAATCTCTGGATGAGCCGGCGTACCCGCTGGAAGACCTCTGCGTACCCCTGGTTGAGAACCACTGTAGTAGTACGGCCTGAGTTGTTCGCTCTGATACTAAGAAAGTCCTGGAGCAGATCAAGGCAGGACAGAGGGTTAACGTAAAAGATACAAAAAAATAATCCAGACTGGGAATTTTGCCACCTAGAGTCATTTTGCCACCAAATATTGCCACCTAGAGTCATAACATTTAGTTTAGTAACTTCTGTCACACAGAGCTCACTCGCCATGCAGACACTTCCAGAAGCTGTACTTCCTGCCAGTTTTAAAGTTGTAGGAGATAAACACAAGTTACAGGGGAAATATAGATGGGGGACAAGTGACAGGTAAATGCTGAGTTCCAATCTGTCTTCCTTTTCATAAAAAAAACATCATGAGAATTATTCCAACCCTTCTGGTTTGGAGGTGAGTAACTGTCCCAGACCTAAAAACAGGTCAGTTTTGACCAAAGAAACAGTACTTGAATTGGAATAAAATGAGTGATCCCGTACCCCATCCTGCTTCGCAGGGCAATGGTGCCCACCCTGCAAAAAGAGAGATTTGGGCATTTCAGTTTCTTCTCATCAGTTCATTGATGTTAAGGCCAGAAGGGACCTGGATGATCACCCGTTATGAGCTCCTCCATAGCACAGGCCAGAGAACTTCATGCTGTAAACGAGGGAACCCTCCTTCCCGGCTACATGAGTAACTGTTCTCAAGCCCAGCATTTTGTTCCTGGGCTAGATTAGCCCATCTTTTACAAAGACATTTCCATTCTCTCATCTCTGCTTCTGGTATTCCACTATCAGCAGTGTAATGGGGCAGGTGACAAAACGGCCTGGCCTCATCCCCCAAAAGCTTGAGCCCTGTCACGAGTAACCAACAAACAACCAAATCTGCATAGAGCATGTTATAATTTTACAAAATCGGGCCTGAGCCCTCCGATGTGGATGCTTGTGATTCAGTGTCCCAATCCTTGGAAAATATTCATACCTTTGAACCCTCGTACTGTGAGACTCTGTTCTACTTCCCACAACTGTCTCTGGGGAACCCCTTCCATTTCTGCCTCCCCTTCAGTGGTCCTCTGGAAGAAAAAGCCCAGTGGCTTTCAATGCACAGTCCCCTTGTGATGTCTTTGAGAGCAGCTGATTGGCCTGGCCCCTGCATCTTGAATTACAGCGGGGAGGAGCCTACTCCCTTCACCCCATCAAATTCCCAGGAAAGATTTTCTAGGGAATGAGCAACCCTGCCTTCCCTCCATTCTGAGCCAGGGGAGCAGCACCAGACCGTGAGATGAGTGAGGTAAGATGTCATGCTTTGATCCCCACTCAAGCGTTTGCAGCTCTGGTTTCAGCAGAGATCAGGCTCTAGGCCCACTAGCGTTTGCAATTCCAGAAGACATGGGATTCCTCTTTGCCTTATCCATTCATCATGATTTGAAAATCCTGCACAGCTGATGTGCCATGTCTGGCTCCCAGGTTCGAGACACATACAAATCATTGCTAGTAGACATTTTCTCAGAAATAGATAAGTGGTTCTAATGACTAAGAAAAACAGTGATTATCATTCCATTAAATGTACAAGCAACATGGATAATTGCTTCAGTTTTATGGGGAAAATATATTATTCCCAGTTTAACTCGGAGCAGTTCTTAGCCTTGATCTTTGCTTTGAGACCTACATCCGCCATGTTGTTAAAATTTTCTCTTTCCATGTCAGGAATGTAGCGAGGCAAAGGTCACTGCTACCTCAGCAGGATGTGCAGCTCTAGAGCTGGGTTTTATTTATTGCCAGACTATATTTGTAGACCCTCAGACTCCTCACTCCATAAACCTCAGTGTGCAGGTTTCTGGCTTCTAGCGAATATGGCCACTAGAATGTATTTATCTAGTGTATGTGGGTTCCCTACTGCTTTTCAGATAGGATGTTCTCTCTATGTGAAACTCACTCAGGAATACTCAGGCCTTACTGAGACAAATTCCCATTGAAATCATCAGTCCCTAGTCTTCAATACAGACGTGTTTCTGCCTTCATCCACTTTCTGCCAAACAACTGCAGTGTGGATGGGTCCCTCCTGCCCTCCCGTGCTACATGTTAGCATCACAGCACATAGGCAGTGGTTGCCAGCTGTCAGCTGGCTTCATTTGACATTTACTTCTGACACTGATGCACACATCCTCCCCAGCCAGAGTCTCCTTGTGTGTCATGATCAAATCAGCAAGGCCCAGGAAGCTATCAGGGAAGCATAATGATGTGCGTTTGAGTTCAGCTTTACTTCCCCATGATACATACAGTAGCATCTCCAGCAGATGAGAAGCATTTTTTTCATTGACAAAGAACCCCAAGCCCCAGCCCACTCCATCCCCACAAAATGAGTGTCACAAGACATTTTCCCTTCCATTGTTTAAAACAGTGAAAGCCCAACGCTTCCCATTCCCTCTGTGAGTGCAAATGATTTCACACAGCTCTGGATGAGTGCATCTTCTTCTCCAATCAAATATTTATCCACTGGCCACAAAAATAACTGTTCAATGAGCAACACAAACCTTCACAAACCTTCCCGTAGAAATGGCAGTCTGGAAAGTTAATGATACCACAGTTACTGAAATGACGGAACTGCTCTTTAATCATTATACAAAAGGTGCCTCTTAGACTGAAATGCACGGTAGGTGCATGTGAATCAGCTCCTAAAATGAATTAAAAGTCTAACTTGTTAATTCCCCAAATATGATATTTCAATGTATCAAAATTATAGTTTCTTAATTTTAAAGATCTCCAGAATGTTTTCTGAATGAAAATCAATGATCTAGTGAAATTCATATAAAATAGACCTATTTGACTGCAGTGAATGATAAATTTTGGCCACAGATATTGATGTGGACACAGAAGTTATTTCAACCAGGACAAATATAGATAGATACGTAGATAGAGACACTTATATATACTTATATGGACCCATGCCTACACACACCCATAGAGGCACATGCACAGGCCACACATAAAATCATAGAACGGGAAGGGACCTTGAGAGGTCATCTAGCCCAGTGCCCTTCCTCACAGCAGGACTAAGTATTATTTAGACCATTCCTCACAGGTGTTTGTCTAACCACAACCTCAGTAGGCAATTTATTCCAATGCTTAACCACTCTGATAGTTAGGAAGTTTTTCCTAATGTGCAACCTAAACCTCCCTTTATGCAATTTAAGCCCATTGCTTCTTGTCCTATCCTCAGAGGTTAAGAAAAACATATGTTCTCCCTCCTCCTTGTAATAACTTTTTACATACTTGAAAACTGTTATCATGTCCCCCCTTAGTATTCTCTTTCTCAGACTAAACAAACCCAGTTTTTTCAATCTTCCCTCAGAGGTCATGTTTTCTAGACCTTTAATCATTTTTGTTGCTCTTCTCTGGACTTTCTCCAATTTGTCCACATCCTTCCTGAAATGTGGCGCCCAGAACTGGACGCAATACTCCAGTTGAGGCTAATCAGTGCAGAGTATAGCAGAAGAATTACTTCTCGTGTCTTGCTTACATCACTCCTGCTAATATATCCCAGAATGGTGGGGTTTTTTTGCAACAGCATTACACTGTTGACTCATATTTAGCTTGTGGTCCACTATGACCAGATCCCTTTCTGCAGTTCTCCTTCCTAGTCAGTCATTTCCCATTTTGTATGTGCGCAACTGACTGTTCTTTCCTAAACCGAGTGCTTTGCAATTGTCCATATTGAATTTTCATCCTGTTTATTTCAGACCATTTCTCCAGTTTGTCCAGATCATTTTGAATTTTAATCCTATCCTCCAAAGCATTTGCAACCCCTCCCAGCTTGGTATCGTCCGCAAACTTTATAAGTGTACTCTTTCTGCCATTATCTAAATTATTGATGAAGATATTGAACAGAACAGAACCCAGAACTGATCCTTGTGGGACTCCACTCATTACATCCTTCTAGCATGACTGTGAACCACTGATAACTACTCTCTGAAAACAGTTTTCCAACCAGTTATGCACCCACCTTATAGTAGCTCCATCTAGGTTGCGTTTCCCTAGTTTGTTTATGAGAAGGTCATGCGAGACAGTATCAAAAGCTTTACTAAAGTCAAGATATACCACATCTACCACTTCCCTCCTATCCACCAGGCTTGTTACCCTGTCAAAGAAAGTATCAGGTTTGTTTGACATGATTTGTTCTTGACAAATCTACGCTATTACTTATCACCTTATTATCTTCTAGATGTTTGCAACTTGATTACTTAATTATTTGCTCCATTATCTTTCCGGGTACAGAAGTTAAGCTGACTGGTCTGTAATTCCCCAGGTTGTCCTTATTTCCCTTCCAATGTTAAACTACATAGATTTGATTAAAAGAACATTTAGATTTTTAATAACATTTAAAAACTGTGGTTACCTCTAAGGCTGCAAAAGAAAGAAATTTTAAATATAAAGTCATATAATGTACAGCATAGAATAATCAACAGGACCTAATTCTGCAAACGTTTAAGGACACTCACATCAGTAGTCCCTTTGACTTCAGTTACAAGTACATGCATACTTAAGTGCTTGCTGGATTTTGGCCTGGCGTTTATGCACAAGGTCCCATTTAACATGCTATCGTCTGACTAAGGGTTAATTTTAAGTTTTAAAACAAATGAAGGGTAATAGCCGAGTTCATTATTTTAAGGGCGTGTATTATTACTCCATGAATATATCCTTTCAAAAGTCCTGTTCTCTTAGCAAACCAAAGAGAATGTTCCGATAGTTTTCGTTTCTTGACAGTTAAAAGTGATGATGAGGACGGAGATGTTAAACCAACCAAAGGACAAGCAAACCAAGGAAAAGGGAGCGATGATGGGAAAGACCCAAGGAGACCCAAACGACCAAGGACAATACTTACAACACAGCAGAGAAGAGCATTCAAAGCATCTTTTGAAGTGTCTTCAAAGCCATGTAGGAAGGTAGGCTCTTCAGCAGAGACCTGCAAACAATCTGGTTTTCTGCTGGTAACGCATAGGACACAATGCCAAACTCTGTGGAAGACCCTTACACAAGGGAAATATTTGGTTGCTCAAAAATTTGCTAATAAAACATGAACTGATCATTTACCATTAGAGTCTCAGGAAGCATGTGGCCCCTCCAACACTGAAAAGTGCACATCCCCATTCCTGTAGTTATTGTTTCTAGTCCTGGCTTTACAAAGTGTAACCAGGATGTGTAGTCGTTTATAGCAGATAGGACTGTGGAAAAAACTATTTGCATCACTGGTGAAACTGATTGAAAAATCACCTCTTTGTGAAAGGCAACATACTCTGCTGTTTCCGCTCCATTTTTTGCTGTCTGAAGTATGTCTTCACTGTGAAAAAGTGACATTTACCTGCATCTATAGAAAATGAGTCACTTGGGATAAGTGTGATGTGTCTCAGGGTTGCCATTTGCCTTTGTTCACGGTGACAAATAGTGTTTATTGGCCAAAGTATCAAAATTTTATTCTTAGCCAAATTTACAAATCAGCGTTTCATAGTTTAAAAAAAAATAATGACATGCTCTCTCTCCTGACCCACCTACTTAGGTGTAAGTTAATTCTTCTTTAAACATTTCTGCCTGTAGGTCAGAGAAACACTAGCAGCTGAAACAGGACTCAGTGTGCGAGTTGTCCAGGTCTGGTTTCAGAACCAAAGAGCAAAGGTAAGTTGTTTGTCCACATCTCAAAAGTAGAGCCTGAAGCACATGTACAGAATGCCTAGCAGCAATGGCAGCCGTGCACAGCTCTTCCCTTTTGCTGAGAGGTCTGTGTTACCGAGATAACAGTTTATAAAACCGTCTTGTGACGTGGGCTCCTCACAAGTGCATATTTCTGCATGGGCTGCACAGACTGCGATCATGTAGGAAGGCCCCTTTCCAGACATCCGCAGCTAGAGTAGAATGGTCCAAGCAATGCTAGATAAGGACTAGTTTGTATGTGCAAATATGGAACTGCAAACCCAAATTTCTATGCTCAGGAATGACAGTTGATCCCCTGGTAGGGTGTACAGGAGTATACACACTCTGTATTGATAGGTTTGGCATTTGCACAGAGTTTTGTAACTAAACCAGCTCTTTCCATTCAAATCCATGAGATTATCCTGCTTTTCCTATTTTATTCAGATGAAGAAACTAGCACGGAGGCATCAGCAGCAGCAGGAGCAGCAAAACTCTCAGCGACTAGGGCAAGGTAAAGCCATGTTTGTGATGGAAGCAAGGAGAAGGGAAGGGGCTTTGTGGGTTTATCGTAGCGTATGTGGGAGGGTACATACAACCATGTGTATGTCCATACAGATGATATCAGAGAATCATAGAATATCAGGGTTGGCAGGGACCTCAGGAGATCATCTAGTCCAACTCCCTGCTCAAAGCAGGACCAATCCCCAACTAAATCATTGCAGCCAGGGCTTTGTCAAGCCTGACCTTAAAAACTTCTAAGGAAGGAGATTCCACCACCTCCCTAGGTAACCCATTCCAGTGCTTCACCATCCTCCTAGTGAAAAAGCTTTTCCTAATATCCAACCTAAGGCACTTCCCTGCCCCAAAATGCGTACAGTCTAATTGGAAAGAAGACACAACAAGTGATGGAAGATTGATGAGGCTGATGTAGAATGATTAGACTTCCTAGTCAGAGTCAGGGCCAAGAGTTTGGGAGGCACCTCTGATTCGAGGGAGACATTCGCACCATTCATTCTGCCCTCCTGTTCCAGAAGCTAGGAATCTCTTAGCAAGAGATGAAAAAAGATGCCTTTCTGATTATACCAGACCTCTGTCATTAAGGCTCCAAGTTTTCACTTGATCTGCATCCACAATTAAGACCAGATTTTCCAAGGAGCTGGGTGGGAAACCTGGCCACTGATTTTGCTGCCTAAATTACAGTGGAGCTGTTTTGGAAATCTGGCTCTAACTGACCCGCAGGACTTAACACTGGGATTTCCTGCTGGCTGAGTTGCAGCTGAGTAAATGGTAGTTGGGGAGCACCAATCTGCTGAATGCCTAACTCTGCCTTTGTGAAACAGTGTCCTAGTCTCTCACATTCACCCCCCAGTGGGCAGGTATTTCCAAGCGCTGTTGGTTTCTGAACTCTAGGCACAAACAGAACGGCTTGGCCATCTCACTGGGTGCTCTGGGCTTTCCGGTAGTTCCTTTGAAATCTAACTGAAATGGGTCAGGGCAGTTTGGTTCTCTCCCACAAAATGGGATAGAGCTGCTGATTTTTCCCAGGAAGAGCGATGCTGCAGTAGAAGGACCTGGAGAGCTGGACAGTGTGACAGAACCATAGATCTCTGGAGGACACATGGGTTTTAGCAAATGGTGATCACTTACTACACTGCCCTGGACTCCTCAGCATTAATACCTTCACGCACTGACCCCATGGGGAGCCCGGGGCTGGTTGGTCCTAAGAATGTTTTCGCTATCGTAGAAGTTTTAGTAATTCCATCTCGCTTCTGGCCTCGTGTTCCAGTGTAGCACAAAGTGGGCAGTAAGCAGGGTATAAACCCCATGTGTGCTGCTTCAGGGCTAGGCTGCGAATGGATTCTGCTGTTTGTTTTGCAGAAGTAATGTCCAACCGAATGGAAGGGATGATGACATCGTACACACCACTTGCACCACCACAGCAGCAGATTGTAGCAATGGATCAAAGCAGTTATGGCACGGACCCATTCCAGCAAGGTCTTACCCCTCCACAAATGCCAGGAGACCACATGAACCCCTATGGTAAGGCTCTCCACGCAGCACCACCCCGGGAGCAGCAGTTGTCTGTACGGCAGTTCAGACTCCAAAGGTTCAGCCTAGTGATTTGTTTTTTCTGCGATTTGAGCTAGAGCATATATTGAACCAGCATCGGGTTTTTAATTTATTTATATGCACAAAAACAGGTAGGAGAAAACCTGTCCCAGGCTCTAGGCACCCTTAACAAATACTTCAAAATATCGCTCTTAGCCATTACAAATCCAGCAACGTTACCTCTTCCCTCCACCCCCAACAGAGTCACCCAAGAGTGACCAAACACCACCAGCACCCCCCTCTGCCCACCCTCACAGTCCTTCCCTTTCCCCCAAAGCTCAGAGGAAAGCAGGCATTTTGCAGCATGCTCCAATAGAGGGAATTAATCTTGTGGTCCTCAAATGCAAAAATTACCATCTCCATAAACTCCCTCAAATTGTAAGCTCTGAATTGCTAAAGAGCAGCCCTCATGTTGCTGCGAGATATGCCAGGACAGAATATTCCCTCCAGGACTTATATAATACTCTCTAACCGAACACAATTACCGGCTTCTACCCATTTCCCACTCACCACATCACATGGCCAGGTGTAACCAAACGGCACCTTTTACGTGCTACACAAATGTAAAAAGCCTCATGGCTGTTACAGGACTATTACCGTCTTGCATTTAAATATGATTTAAGAGGATTTTTCAAACGGCGATGAGTGATCTTGTAGCGCATCATGGCTCAGTTATATCACTTTAACTTCTGTGAAGTATGGGGCACGTTGGTACTGAGATGGATACACGCCTCTTAGTAACACTCATTGGAATGACGTGCATGCAGCAGGAGGAAAGCAGACTGTGCTGTGTGCTGTTAACAGTGTTTGTTGCAGAGAGGTGTATGCACACTGGGAAGTTTGGTAAATGAAACAGAGTCTGAATTTCAAGTGCATTTCATAAAGAAACTTGAACCCCAGAGGAACTTTGGAGGGGTCGGGTTTGGTGGCTAACATTTTGCCCAGCTCGCTCAATGAATCCCCACTAGAGATATGGTCTGTGCCTCAAATCAAACACAAAGTAATACAATGCAGCCATTTCAATTGAGTGCCGGTAGAGCACTTTCTGGTGCTCTCCCAGGTGGTCAGTTGCCATTTCAGCCGCAAAAGGAGATAAAAGGCAGTATTGTCTCTATTCCAAAACAAAACTCCATTGCATTTGCAGATGCGACATTGTGTCTGGGTGAGCAACACTTTTTCCCAAAGAGCCGTTTCCCATTGTCAGAATTGGGGCCTAATCCTGCATTAATTGGCTACCCAAAGTTTCTGTTGTGGAATGCAAGGTCCCAGCTCGTGCGGAGTGTGTGATCCTCCCTGCTCCCTGTTGGTTGTCTGCTCATGTCAATTAGAGAAGGGTTTTTTTATGTGCTGGAGACAGCAGCATAAATGAAGCACTGCCAGATTTCCTCCTTCTACGCAGTATCAAAGCCATTGAAACACCTAGAATTTGATCTCCAGTCCCTGTTTAAAGAGCAGAGCCTTGCAGAAGAGTTATTTTATGTTAGCTTAGGAAAGGAAAACAAACTGTATTAGCTTTTGCGTTCACTTGGAACAGATAGTGTGCCTCATAGTGCCTGAGAATCCTGAATCTGTATTTCTCTTCCTGCACAGAATCGAGCTTAATTTCTACATTTTGTTTGCAGGAAACGACTCAATTTTTCATGATATCGACAGTGATACCTCTTTGACTAGCTTGAGCGACTGTTTCCTTGCCTCCTCAGAAGTTAACTCCATGCAGGCTAGAGTAGGAAACCCCATTGACAGGCTGTACTCTATGCAGAGCTCATATTTCGCCTCATGAAAATAATAAAAAAAAAACAAATAGCTGGCGTATCTTTAGCAAGTGACTTTTTGCAGAGCAGACTCTACAGCCATATGTTGCCCAGCTCTTCCTTCACAGTGACTCCTGCCACCCCTGGACTGCCAAGAGCATTTTTAGGAGGACCATATATTAAATAAATAAATCAACCCATCAACCCTCACCTCCCCCAGTCACACACACCCACATCCTCAGTTATCCGGATTGGACCAGGCCGAGAGGAAAGCATGGGAAGAACGGAACACCCAGCTCTCCAGCAGCCCTTGGTTTGGTTTGAGCTCCGCACTGTAAAGGAGGTGACTGTGTGAAAAGCGAGACCTTTTTCCTCCTTTCTTTCTTCCTTTCATTTGGATATTTAAACTTTTTTTTTTAAAGCCACTGAGACTGACATCAGTCAACCATATGACGAATAAATCAAAGAAACTGGAGACTCCTCCCCTTTCTTACTGCATGACTCATACTATGTTGTGGATAAATTGCCATTTGAACTGTGAGAAGTTAATGTAAATGTGACGTTCAACATTTGTTTCCTTTCTACACTTTTTCTACATTACCCTCAATCTGCTCCTTAGTTTATAGCCCTTATACTGTATGATACTTAGAAAAACTGGTTAACAATAAGCCTTGTGGAGAAGCCAGTGATTTCATAATTGGAAAAGGACCCTGGAGAGAAGCTGCATGTTAGGGACAGATGCATTTAGATTAGTATTAATCTTGAATAATTAAAACAAAAGGTGCTTACATTACACAGAGCTTTATTTAATTTTTAATGTGTGAGAATAAAACATTTACTTTTATTTGTAAGTAATTCAGTGCCACCTTTCAAGCCTAGACTGTGATTGGCAACCATGTGTTGTTCATTCTGTTCTGTTTATTTAGGTTTTGTATGAGACATAGATGTGCTACACTCCTTTGTCCATCTGGAATAATTAAGACCTCCTTTCATTAATTTTCTTCCCTTGTCAAGGAAAGTGCAGGATCTAAAATCCTAGCCCAGACCCTGAGAAGTGTCCCGAAATGTGCACCAAGTGAGCGAGAACACAGAGAACACGAGGCTCTGTCACGAGCCTGAGTCTGATCTCACTTATGGAAGTTTCACACTGATGTGCCTCTGTTGCCTCCAGCAGTCACTCCAGACCTGCACTAGTGCAAATGGGAGGAGAACCGGGCTCCTTATGCAGAGATAAAGAGGACTGTCTCAACAGCCCTTGCCGAGGTTTGAGCAGCCATTATAGATTTTTGTAGGGCATAAAACACGATAAATAATAATATTGTAGTTATAAATGTTGCCTGCAGACAATAATTACCGGGTGGAGAGGCAGACAAGTATGGCCATGTCTCGTAATGGAGAGGCCTTAGTGAGGAACAATTTGACAAGGTAAGAGAAGTAATGATACGATGTGTTCAAAAACGAGTAAAGACGGGGTGAGGAGGGAAAGGTTAGGTAAGTCAGGCCCATTCTTAAACAAATGTGGTAAAATGCTGACCATCCCATGAAAACCAAGGTAATTGAACTCCTGGCGTGTGACTTATGGTGCAGGCTCAGGGGCTGCAGTTGCAAACTCTTCAGCACTCGGAGGGGCCCTCCATGCCAGTTCGATGGGCCACAGGCAGCAAAGAATGTAACAGACTCAACAGCCTCGTTACGTTCGTGGCAGCGTACGTATGTTCCAGTTTCCTGGGATAGTAGCACTGCCTGCTCAGGATAGGTCCCAGCTCTCATGGGAGTCTGCCCATGAAAAGTTAAGCACCCTTTTCTGAACCAGAAAGGGCTACTTCTTGCTTCCCAAAGGGGTGAATACCAAGCAGGGCAAGAAAGAGCTGAGTCAGCCAAAAAAGGACCTGTGTTGCTCTATGGCAAATGGTATAACTCATCTTGAACACAGATTTAAAACAAAAGAGGGCAAGAGAGCACTTCTTACATCCCAGGTGATTATTAACTCTCCCCACTTTACTAAACAGGGGGCAACCAGAGCCACATCCCATCCAGGGGTAGCAAAGCAAACAAAGCTATTCATTCCAAACAACCATGGGCGGAGCTCAGAACCCATTTTACACCTTTCTTAAAACCCAGCTTCCATCACTAGGAGAAACACTTGAATTTGCACCTTGGTGAGGTGAGGAAAGGCTCCATTGGGAAAGGAAGTATACTACTCATGCAGGCGAGATGGCACGTCTGGAGGTCTCCCCTCTGCTCTGCTGCCCACAGCACAGTGTCCCAAGACAGGCAGAAGGGCCCTCTCTCACAAACACACACCCAGTGTTGCTTTATTCTGTCTATTCCCCTGCAGCCCCCGATGTTCTGGGCTAACAAAGCTCAAGCCATCCCCTTGCTACTGCATGTAGCTCTCCTACCTCGAACAGGAAGTAGCCCAGATTGCAGCCTGCCAGCAGTCAGGGGTCCATCACAATTGCATGCATTCTGTAGAGGCAGTTTTATCTTCTGCAGAGGGAAGTGACTTCACCAGTTGAAGCAGAGGCTTGTGAGCCCCTTGGATATCTGCTGCCAGTTGGGAGAAAAAGGCTTTACTACCTTTTTTCTCACCCAGGCACCACCGATTTTTCCCCTTGTGCTGTACCAAAAAACACCCCTGCTCACAACAGCTGGTATCTGTAAAGAACTCAGGTGACCTGGACATTTACATTGCTGTAGGGGCCAGAATTTGAAGCATTTCTCATGTGGTACATTGGAAACATTTGTAACTACCCGCCTCACAGGATTAATCCAACTCCCAGCAAATATCAATTTTCTCAGAGCCGGAGTGTCTTCACAAGCTCCAACCTCTGATGTTTATGGCATCTATACACTGTCCCAGGATCCCACCAGACAGACCTCCTCTTCTTACCAGTGCAGAATCAAAGGCCATAATTAATTAACGTTGAGACTGGTCTGAGCACTGTACTGTGCCCCACAGTCTGGAGACTCCCCTGCTCCATGTCTACCTCTGGTTCGCGGCTGGATGTTGAAAAAATCCACTTCCAAGAAAGGAATCAGCAAGCCTACTTTGGAGCTCAAGTATCGATAACCCTTCTGCTGCTCTTTGGATGGCACTTTATCACCTTGGCATATATTGCAATGTAGGTATAAATATACTCTCGGCTGAGCCTTTGGTGTGTTGTATGGCAATGCTTAGCCGTTTGTTCCCCCATATTATGCTCTAGTTGGTGCCAAGTGCATTGTACATGCAATCTCTTGGACAACATGGCTAACTATATTTCCAGTGCCGGGGTGCATTGAAGCCAATCAAGCCGGGGGTGCACTTTTGAAAGTATGGCCAGTCACTTCGAGCAGGCCAGTGATATCTGGCAAAGGCCAAAGTTCATTAAAGCAAAATAAATTTGTAGTACGAATTATCCCACAGGAGCGTGATCATTGTGGTTTTAACCCAGGACCTGCAGTAAAATATTATAAAGCAACCTCTGACCTTTTTGATTTCTGGTTTACTCTTGTATTGTCAAGGGAAATGTCACTGATCAGGTGAAAGTAAAATGTGCAATGGGCCATACAGCGGTAATATCTTACCCTGAGTCACATTGATAAATTCTTGCCCAAAACTCTTAGCATCTGGCACTTTCACGGAAACCACAAATAGTGATTGTACATATGGGAGTTTGAAGGGTAGAGGTCGTGACAGCAGTTTATTACGTCTACCTTATAGTGATAATTCTCTCTAGCAAATTAACCTCGCTCTAGTATAAATACATCAAGTGAACTCTTCATAGCATTTCAATCATGCTGTTTTGGCTAAAGAAGGAATACACATTAGGCTAAAGCAGTGACAAGATGCAATTAACTAAAAGAAGATTGATTAGGTTTGTGTTCACTCAATAATATTTAACGAAAGGTTATCATAATGTGAACATGCTAAATGATAGCTTCCTCAGAAGTCTGTATTGTGCAAATGATCAATTCTGTGCCCAAAAGTGATGCTAGCATACTGCAAGTTTCCTCCTGCCAAATGCGGTAACTGATTGATGCAGTATTTAGTCCCTGTACTCAGGGACCAGCATATGCTTTTAACCTAGTAACTAGCGCGTTTCCATTTCATAGTGTCACTGCCAATGGAAGAATTCCCCCACAACGTGCAGCTCATCTCAGGGCTACACTAACCACAGTCTCAGTATGATGCTGAGGAGAGGGACATACTTCCAAATAATTGGCTTTATGGTGTTAAATGTGTTTCATGCCCAACAAGTAGGAGATAATTATGTTGCTGTCAGTAAAATAATTTTTGGTTTCCATCTCTAAGCTGAAACATGTCCCACGAATCTTGGTCTTTTTTCTTCTTCAGATGCTTTGTCACCAAACGTGTCTGCGTTCTAAAGCCCACTTGGTGCTACCCATGCACAAGGAGTGAGCTGAAGCATGCTCTCAGTGGCCACTGAATGTGTTTCGCTCTGCTCAATGTGCAGTGTGAGTATTGCTGCTGAGGGATAGGTACGAGCCTGCTCAGGGAACCCCTCTCATGAGCCTGGCAATGTGTCCACTCTGCAGCACAGTCACGGGTTAGGGAGGCACCTTCAGCCTGGTAATGCCTTGCAGAGTGGTTGATGTAATTCCACATCCCTTTCCCTACTGGGTGCAGGAGTCCTCTCCACCTTTTCCAATGATCAACGATATTTCCAGCCACACCCCTCATTCCGCCCAGAGCATCACGGTGTCTCTGCTCCTGCCAGCCAGATGGGCCATTCAATTTGTGACATCACCAGAAGTTCCGTGGTGATGTCATACTAACTCAATAAGACTCCACTACAGGACCAAGGAGAAAGACAAGCTTCCTCCAACCACAAGGGTTGGTCACAAGAGCAAAAGGGAAGAGAGGACACATTAGAGATCGCATCACAGCCACAGTCCTTGGAGCCAGTTCCAGGTACACGGCTACGAAGTTCCCATGTGCTTTACATCTCTAGAGCCTGAAGTATTTGGGAAGTGTTAATGAGCAGCTGTCATTGTGTGTCTAAGTCCCACTTTAGTGTGCCCTCCTCTCCTAGCACAGTGCCGCTGGGTGGCACAGATTGCCCGACTAACACATCCATAGCAACTTGAATTCAGAGCAAGTTAAGTATTTAGGCCACCATTCAGTAAGGTACTTCAGTACAGGCTTATCTTTAAGAAAGTTCTTAAATCCTGTTGGCTTCAACAGGACTCAAGCATGTGTAAGTGCTTTGCTGAATGCAGAGGGTTGACTTCATGCTTAACTCCCTTGCTGAATTAGGGCCTTACTGAATAACTTGGTAACTTCTAAGTATAAGCACAGAATCATAGATTGATTTGCTGATTCTACTGCAGGCCTTCCTAATGGTACAGCATGGCTGCTCTTGGGTCTGCACAATGTTGTTTTGTTTAGCAGTGACTGTGAAGGGACTTCCAGCTATTTTGCAGTGGGAACTCTGTTTTTAAGTGGACACCCTTTTTTAGCTGTGTACGGCTGTATTACTTGTATATTTATATATTCTGTATTTATGTTACCAAAATGTAGTATTTTGTAGCTGTCTGTTACAATTTGTTTAACTTGTACAAAATATGAATATGCTCCCTCATACTTAACCACCTGCCTTTCACAGTAGCTCCCTGCCCCTTGCTCTCTGTGTTGGTAACACGCCACCATAATGTGTGTAGGTTGGATTTTTTTTTATTTAATTACTTGTCATTGTTAAATTATTTATTAGTGTTTTTTAAATTTCATTTCACTGCATTTTTTTCCTGCCACCGTCACCTGGCAGCTAAGGTATGTGAGATTCT